TGGTTGGTAATGGCAAATTTAATATTAATTATTTATTATTTAGTCGAGGCAAAATATAACAACTGCCAGTTGCCACGCCAATTGTGCCTCTGTCGCAAGTTCTACTTGCAACATACGTGACTCTGAAAGGGTTGCTGGGCGAATCGGAGGCATCTCCATGCCTCGTCTCGCCGCTTGCCGTCAACGTCTTTGGCATTTATTTTATTTGCGCATTTCTTCATTTTCCCAAGCCCCTTACCAAAACCAACCTTCTGTAGGGTAGTAAAAAAGAAAATAATGTAAAAACCTTGCAGCCGACCGGCTATAGCCGACTGCGCAATACTCTGTTCATAGTGTAGTTACCAATCAAATCTTATTGATTCTTGAAAACTCGGGTTTCATCTAGCTCTAGCTCTATAGAGACTAATATACTCTTTTCTTCACTTTGCGAACAGAGTGTTCTAATGCCGCAAACTGCGGATAAGCAGCGCTGCCCATCCAAGCAGCGTAGGCGGCTCCTCGTGTGGGCGTGGCACATGTAAGCCCATAAATTTTACGTGTATGAAAACACACACACATGTACAGCTCCCGTGGTTAAAAAATAATGTAGGTAAATACTCCAGAAAAAAAAATGGGGTTTACGAGCAGTTCTTGTATTTGTATTGTTACCAGATGGGCGTGGCAGCGGTACGCCCACTTCGTGCACCGTAAACAATGACATTAGTGGAACGCTTCGCGTATGCATTAAATATTTTTATTGTTTAGACTTTTGGGCATGCCAAAAGTAATTCTTTTCATAAGCATATTTTCAGCTCCTTTTAATGGCATTTTTCGCTTTTCGCATAAATAAATCAGAGCACTGCAAAAAGAAGGCTAAACGGGTTGGCGGAACGGCCCAACCCTCCATTTAAAAGGGGGCCAAAGCATTGTCTGGCATTATAAAATTGCAGAACCAGCCGCAACAAAGGCTTAGAATATTTACCAGCTTAATTGAGTAATTTAAATACGAAATTAGTTTACAGTTAATTATAGTAATTATAGCTGCATATACGGGCAATTGCAGAAATGTGTAAATGTGCCAGTTGGCAGCAATCGACTAAGAGATACGCCGAGGGGGGAGCAATGTCAAACAATTAAAATATTCATAATATATGTTTAATGCACGAGAATTTACAAAGCAAGTTTGGTTTAGTCACCTCGAATAATCTTTGAGTTATGCCTATCGATAGATAGATCGTTATATGTATTTTATTTAACAGAATAGTGTTAACGCTTCTGTAGTTTCTAGGGTTGCTGGCTCCTCTGAACTTATTCTCCTAAACAGGAATATATATATTTATAGGTTTGAAAAAGCTTATTTCACCTGTTGCAATTGCACAAAATCATTTAACAATAAGCACATACAGTTAAGAATTTTATGCAATGCTGCTTGCGTTTGTTTTCTCGAGAGAGCATTTGATTTTTTAATTCCGCTGTGTGTTGCATTCGTAAACGTTTCGCTCGCACGCAATTTAAGCTGCACAAGCAAATAATGAGTTTCCGTTATGAATATTTCAAGAAAGTCTGAATTTGATGGCAACAAAAGCGTGATTATTTAGCTTTCTTTCAGACTTAAAGCAAGGCATACAAAATTATTTGCCCACATAAGATTACAGCTACTACAGCAGGATTGATGGAAGCCAATAACAAAAGGATATTTAGTCTTTTGTGCGAACATTCAAATTAATATGTATATGCATGCAGTCTTTTTTATTAAGCTGCCTTTGAGCTGTCAGTTGAAAGACTTAAACTGATTTGGCTGGGCAGATGAAAGCCAGCAAAAGAAGAGAGCAGAAGCCACAGACAAGGAGGCGCATAGAGATTAGCTGAGACAGCAAATGGCAGCAGTTGCCTGACTGGTAAAAGATCGACTTTCAGAGCCTTGGCTGACAACTCCATTTTTGGCCCGGGGACAATCTCTGGCAGCGCATCAAATCAATTGCCTGCTCGAGTCCAAGGTCAAGTGCAAGTCCAACATTACCCTTTGGTGCAGCAAAGCGAAACAAAGTGTCCAAGCTGCCAGATAGTCAAACGAAAATAGAAGATGAGAAAAAACACCTGCAGCTTCCAATTGGCATGTCTGCACAGCCATAAATTGTGATAAATGAAGTGAGCTGCCATGTTGCCAGGCTACTTATCAATGTTGCCCGGCAAGCCCGCACTATAATTTAGACATTTGGCAGCCAGCCAGCACAGGTTAGCAGATAGCCGACCAGAAGAATAAAATAAACAAAAACTAAGGCAATTCAAATTGGTGACTGTTGCCATTTGGCTTAACTTTTGATACCAATTGGATAGGGCAAAAACCATCAAACTATATATAAGGTATGTGTATATTATGTTAAACAACAGTTCTGAGATCAGCTAACAGCACGTAACAATATGTTAAACAACTGCTTAGAGATCAATTAACAGCAGTTAACCGTATACTATGTTAAACAACTGTTTAAATTTCAGTTAACAGCATTTAACAGTATACCAGGTAATATGTTAAACAATTGTTTAAAAATTGCATGTAAAATTTGCATCGAATCAATTCATGTTAACATTTTGGTCTCAATCTTTCATTATTAATCACAAGTTTTTATCAACATTTTATTTCAACACCAAAACTCCTGCTCTTTAACATAATGTTAGTGAGAACTATAACATTTTTGAGTTCATTTGTCGTAACAGAAGAAACGCATTATAATTATTAAGTATTTACCTACTGCTGTTGGTAAATACTTCATAATTCAAATGCGTTTCTTCTGTTCAGTGTTGGGCAATTACTTAATGAGAAGCTGCCTTGGCTGATAAACTCGTCAAAAGTGTTGGTAAGAGTTACTAATTTATCGGTTTTATATACATATGTTAAATTTAAATAGTGGTAGGGAGTCAATGTAAGTGATATGTAAAGGTGAATTAAGTAAGCTTAAGTGTTTTTCTTGCACATAATTGTAAGTAAAACAAAAAAAATGAAGAATATAAAAAAACTAATGTCATTTTAAGAAATATAAAACTGTTTATCTTTTAAAAGTGAAAGCTGCTGACAGAATAAAAAATCAATTTGCAATGCTAAACATATTCTCATAAGCTTCCGCATAGACCAGAGTATAGCTATTTCTTGCAGCCCTAAAAGCAATCAGTGACAGGCTGGCAACAGGATGTGCACACTCACACACCCATACATGCACCTTGATTGCAGCCAGTGTTGTGTATTGTTTGTTTTTAGCTGTTGGCTTTTAGCTATGCGGCGTATACGCAATTTCATTTTGCTTTCTTTTTTCGCATGCATATGCAACAGCATCAAAGGCTGCATAAATTATACGCCGCGTGGCACGTTGCACGTTGCACGTTGCCAGCGGGAGCTCAGCTTAGCTCAGGGGGGGGGTAACGCCGCCCACTTTATTGACTTTTTTACAGTGTCGATGTATTGCACAAATATTAATTAGGCAGCTGTTTATATCGCCTGTGATTTGCCTCATCGATCAGTGGGTCAAAGTAGCAGCTCGAACGCTATTTGGCCCAGTCTTAAGCAGCTTTTGTGGGTCACTTCGAGCGGTGGCATGTTGCCTTTCGATACTTGCAACTGTGCACCGCTGACTATCAATTTTAAATTATGTTGCCAGTGCCGCCCCAGCGGATGTTTGCGCTTGTTTTATTATCTGCCAAATGTACAGGCGGGCAGTTAGCGGGCAGCGAGGCAAATGTCTGTTGACGGCACATAAAACATGGCTAATTACGAGTGATGAGCATTTTGGCGCTTTGGCCACACTTTGTTAACAGCAAATGAGAGGCGCCTGCAACTGTATCAAACAAATAGATGGGCCAACCTTGCAAATTAAATTTATGGACAGTTCTGACAAAACCTTGAAACATCCAAAACAGTTGGGGGAAATATTTATCAATATGCAACAAAGCCTTTCTGTTAAAATCGTCATCATTACGTTATTCTTACTAACTCGTATAAGAGATCATTTACAGATTACCCTTTATCCTATGTAAACTAAAAGGAATTGCAATTAAAGAAAAATTCCTAATAAATATCATACATTTTTCAATTTTGTAGAACGTTGCCATTTAATTTAACAACATTCCTAGGAACAAGAAAGTAAATATATATAACACAACATTTAAAAGAGCTGCTTTATGCAAACAAATTCAATCAATTTCAAATTTTCTTCAAAAATACCAAAACGCTTTCATTGATACTCTTAAAGGGAAATTTTATAAATTTCCCATGGCGAGCAATTATACGTTGCGATAAAAGATTACGCCGATCACAGCTGAGCCAAAGAGAACTGTTAATCTTTTAGTCCCGCTCTCTTGCTCTTACGCTCGCCCCGACTAGCGGGCCGTTATCTTTGCTGGCTCTCTTGGCAAACATTTAATTGATTTGCCATTTGAATTTCGCATTGACAATGAATTCGCCATCAAAGTCGTCACGTGTTGGCAGCGGCAGCTGCGAAATTCGAAGACAAAATACAGATAAAGATGAAAATGTTAGGGCGGAGGATGGTGTAAAACCCATCAAACGCCACACGAAACATGTCAAGGCAAATGTGAAAATAATACAGAACCAAAAAGGAAAAACAATATCTGTAGAAAATATCTGTCGTCTGATTGCCAGGCACAAATGCAGACGGCTGCGGCGGCCCTTTTTAGCTGATTTATGCCCCGAACATAGACAACAATTGCATGCCAAAACATGTTACGAGGTGCTCTGGTCGCCAGTGACCGACTGGCAGATGCCCTGTGCACATTGCCGAATGACAGAAACAAACATTTGTGCTTCGCTTAATATGTATGCACAACTGCCCTTTTCATTCATTTACAGGGTATTAGGAAAACGCCTCAACGCAATCCCCGCCTTCTATACCTACAAGGTACCCTCTTCTTGCACAATTTTTTATAAATGCAGGGTATATACAAAGAATAACCACAAGGCAGACGCCTTCTCATCCCGCTGCCAATTTGTAACACTAATTAGCTAGACTCACCTTTGCTGTTGGGCCCGTTTGCCGTCTGCAGCGCGGACATGGGTATGGCCAGGCAGTTGCGCGCCGTGACGGGCAGATCCAGATCCAGATCCTGAGGCGGCTCGGAGCGCGGACACGGCGTATAGGCTATTTTGCTGCCGCGTCCCGGCGTGGGGCTGACGCGTGCATGGCGCCCGCCGCCGCCGCCGGCTAAACGTTCGCTGGCCATGCCGCAGCGGGGCACTCACTTAAGCCTGCAGCAACATGCGGCACGCGGCGGCGTTTCAGGCTAATCGGGCAGCGGTAGCGGCAGGGTGCATGCGGCAGCCAAAACGGTAAACACAAGCCAATAAAAATATGCGATCTGGCGCTTTTATTGCTGCATTCGCAATGCACACACTTTGGGGAATCGCTTCAATTGGAGTAGCCGAATAAGAAGAAGAGGAAGAAGACGCCCGGCAAGGACACGCGACGTGCTCACGTTTGTTACTTCAGTTGCATGCGCTGCAGCGCACAACAACCATAGCAACACACCAGCAACAACGACAGCAGCAGCAGCAGCAGCGCAGCCACAAACAACAACACGTATAAAAAACTCAACACGAGATGCGCGCGCGCCTGCAACCAACTTGCACTGTCAAAGGCCAGCCAGCAACTGAGCAGCAGCAGCGACAGCAGCAGCCGACGTCGCAGCCGACGTCGCTCTGGCAGCCTCTCGGCCGAACATGTGCCTAGCGAGGCACTGGCAATGCTCGCTTTGTACTCTTCTCTTACAGCAGCAATCGTTTAGTGCTCTCCCACTCATCGCTCAATGTTACTCTCGTGTTGGCTCCCTCTACCACCCGCACCCCTAGACACATAGCATCCACCGAGACGCTGCATAACTGCATCGAGCAAGCTTTTGCGTTTGTTTTTGTTTTGCTCTTGGCTGCTGTGAATAAGCTGTGCTTTATTCATTCACAAAATGTTTGCACAGCGTTGCCACATGATGTTGTAAACGCTGTATTTAGGCTGTTCAGCGTGCACGAACTTGCCTGAGTATTCAAATTACGAACTAGAGTCAACTATTTTGCCACTTTCTGTTTTGTTTAAAGACTTACATTTTTATAAATTAAAATATATTCGCTTTTATATTACGCGTTTTGTTGAATCAAAATTGCCTCATCAATAATTAAGCTTTGAATAATTATTAATAAAGCAAAACGAAGAATAAGAAAGCTATGTTTTTCAAGGTTAATCCTTCGAAAAAGGGAATTTTGCCAAAATATCCCAACATATTAACGCCACCTATGGGCTTGCATCCGAGTACTTCTAAGGATGCTCAAAACGGCATATGTGCTTTGAAAAGCTTAAATCAAAGCACGTTCTGTGCATGTAACTAACAAAGAAAAAAACTAGATGGCGCTACGCAATATGACACATACGCACTGTGGCCCTTGTTGATTATTTGCCTTTTCCGAACTAGTTCCCAACAAGAAAGAGCACACGAAAAACTTCACATTTAATTTGTATATTTTGTTTTTATTGGTTTTTCTTTGCCTGTTAAATAGAATAGAATTGTTATTAAAATTGTTTTGTATTTTTTTTTTGTTTTTTAGTTTTCTTTTGTTACGTTTTGTCCGCCATTTTGTTTTTGCGTGTGGCATTTCGACTGTGGTTTTTTTTTTTTGGCTTATGAAACTGGTTTTCGCATTTGATTTCGTTTACGTTTTGTGGTACAGTTAACTGATTTGTATCTCTTCGGGAATGCACCTCAAGACTTGTTACCATGGAAATTGTTCTATTTACCTGCTGTTTCATTTCGGTATATATATAAGTATATCAGCTAGTTCTTCGTTCCTCTTGGAAATTCATTAGTAATTACAAAAGAAAACGTATTTTTGTTTTGTTTTGGTTTTTGGTTTTTTTAGACTTGTCGTTTACAGCGCTTAGAAGTTACAGTTTACATAAGTTCAGTTTGTTTTTTTTTTGAAGGGGTTTTCCTTTTCATTCAATTTTATTGGAATATTTTTGACTTGCCAAAAATTTTGATTACTGTGTGTGTGTGTGTGGGTGTGCTTGTGTTTCCAGTGTTGTGTAGTGCTGTCTAAAGCAACTTGTGGTTCAAATTTTTAGCTCATGTGTGTGCGTGTGTGTTCAGAGGTGTATCTGTGTTTTTTAGACTAAATATATATCATATACTCGTTATATTTTCTCAACACTTAGGATTTTCATAATCTGTATATGCTTACAATTAACAGCTTATGCGCTGAATTTTTCGATTTTATATATATATATATATATATATATATTCTTTTATATGTATCATAAAATTCGATGCCGTTGTTGTTGTAGCTGTTTGAAGAAAATTCAAACAATTTCGCAGTCCACAAAATGTTGCAAAAACCCAGAAATTTTCTTTCAGTGAGAGTGTGTGATGTGTGTGTGTATGTGTGTGTGTGTGTGTGTGTGTGTGTGTGTGTGTGTGTGTGTGTGTGTGTGTGTGTGTGTGCTGGCATATTGCAAATTATGGTATAATTCAAAAGATTACGAACTTGGCCAAGGCAAAAACTTACAAAAAGTGTTGCATACTTTGCAGCTATACAAAATGTACTTAATGCAAATACAAATACTTAAATTAAGCTACATTTAAGTCAAATCTTATGTTTTAATTTAAGCAAAGGAATCTAACTCAAACTTAATATACTTTTTAAAAGATATAAGTTATTATGCTGTTCCGAATTCCGTTTAAATAATTTTGGTTTTGGGAAATTCTCATCTTTTGTTGAAGAATATGTTTTTGATAAGCAAATGGGCTTTTTATTAATTATTTTTTATTTTATAGTTTTAGTTCGCATTCACATACACACGCACACGCACACACTTGTTCATACAGTTGCCTATCGTTTTGCTATCAAAATGTTATCGAAATCGATTTGGAAAAAGCAAAAACGAAACGATTCCGCTCGTGATTCTAAACACCAACAAACTAGTTGGTGGAACGCGCGGAATTGAATCGTTTATGAATTTTGCAAACAGCGCGGGGATCGGAACAGAGTAAATAAACAAAAAAAGAAACACATTGAATTTAATATAAACTAAAGCATTATCCATTAAATACTTAATTATAATTAATTGAATTCTTATATAGAAATTACTCTTGTTCAGCACGAAAAGTGTTCAAATTGTTTTTGAAATATCAACAAATCTTATTTTGGGTTCACTTGCCCAAGGCCTACAATTGCTTTTCATTCCATTTAGTTTTACTTATTATTTTTTAGTATATATTTAAATCTGCACATTTAGAAGTTTTGAGAATATTACAAACTAAGCACAACATCAATATCTGTATTTTATGGCGTTTACATATATATATATATAAATATCAGATATATCGGTTATTTTAGACACATTTAGTGCAATTTTTTTCTATGTACAACAATCGAAAAATACATCCAATTTGTGCTAAATTTGCGTGAACTTGAAAAACATTTAGGAATCGAGTTTGGAGAACTTTTCAAAATCTTTCGTTTTTGTGTTTCTTCTAGGTGCGTACACTATATATATATATATACGAGGGCTGGCCTGCGAGTTGCCTGGTTAATCTTTGGTATAGGTACATATGGCTAATATATATATTATTTAGACATTCAAAATATGTTTTATTAGTTTCTGCTACTTTTGAAGATTTGTCATAATTTATACACTTATTTTTCGTTACTGAAAACATTTTTATAGGTGGTTGGTTAGTTGGTTAAATTCATGGATTGAATGCAGGATGCGTTGCGTATTCCTCAAAACCCGCAGGACACTTTAAGACTTAATCCCGCGCACATGAGTGCAACGGGCGTGGGCGCGGGGGCGGGGCCTAAGCACTTGACCAAATGGAGCTCGTCGGCCGGCAAGAAGAAGACGCATGAATGAGGCATGACAAATGTTAAGTGTGGCCGAATCATTTGAGTGTTGTCTGTAAAATAGCCAATCCCAAAGAGAAAAACAAAAATGACAAAAACAAAAGAAATGCCAAAAACAATAAGAAAAACACAACTTGTTTTGTTTTTGTTTCGAGGTTTTTAAAATGTTTGTGTATTTTTTTTTTAAAGAAGTTTTTTTTTTAATGTTCCTATTTTGCATTTTGTGTGTCAATCTTTTACATGATCACATATATATATATATATAAGTGTGTGTAGTTAGCCTCTATATATATATATATATATATATATTGTAATATTTAACGCTCGCCTCGGCTGCTGCATATGGCTCACAAATTTATTTAGTTTTGTTTTGCGACTCGGCCTTTTGCCTTGCAAATGAGAATTTATAAATATTTAAGACATTTTGTTGTTGCTTTTTGTTTTGTTGTTTTGTTTTGGTTTTTTGTTAGGCAAATTAGCTACAAATTTTCATTGGTTTATTCAATGCCGCGACTCGCCGGACAACTTCCTTTATGCGCTTTTGTTAACTGTTTGCAATTTGCATTGGAAATGCGTCGCCAGGGTTGCCAGACCGTCTCGAATTCAAGCCGCACAAAAAACCATTTGTCGCAAAAGGATTTCTGGCTTCAAGTGTTGATTTCTTGTATTTTCTTCTTTTGTTTTCTGTTCTTTTTTGCGTAGTTAGAAAAATTCGTGTTTAGTTTAAAGTTAAATTTTTGTTTAAGTTTAGAGTTTGGTTTTTGCTTTTTTTTTTTTAGTATTATATAGAGACCATATGATCATAGATATAACTTGCTTTAGTTTAAATTATTTTTGTTTTTGTTTTTAAAACTTGCACAATTTTCGCTACAAAATGTTTGTTTTTGTTTAAAAAAAGTTATAGAAAAGTGTTTGTGGTGTTTCTTTTGTTTTTGGTTTTTTTTTTTTTTTTGCTGTTGCCCGCGGAACGTAAGGGTCTCGTTCCAAAGATCAAGCAAACCCAAAATGTTTTTATATATATATATAGAATAATAATTAACTTTATCATAAATGTAATCCATCCGTATCATTATCAATATTATATGCATATATATTATACTCACAGTTGATTTTATTTGCAGTGGGGAGAAGAGTGTAACGAAACGTGTGACAAAATGGTGAGATGCGTATCTGTAGTGTAGTGTAGTGTGGTGTAGTGTATTCTGGTGTGGATAGTTATAGAAGAACGTTCAACAAGAGCAACAATAGCTAGAGGGTGGCTTAGGGGGGAAAACGAGCAGAGGGGTAAGTTGAAAGGAAACAAGGAAACGTTTTCGATATGAAACTAAATTAAAGTTAGCTCAACGATACAGTACAGTTGTGTTTAGTTTTGAGGTTAGGTCTGGCTTATGCGCACCGACTTTGGGTACAGTTGTGTTTTCTTTTGTTTCATTTGCATCTTGAGAAGTACAGTTGCGCTCAGTGAGAGTGCAGCTCTTGCGGTTCCCTCGAAGGTTTGTTTGCAATTTATCGTAAGCTCACTTAACTTAAAAACAATATACATATATTATTATATAGGCACAATATAATACATATATAATAATATACATATATACACATATATATTGAGTTTGTTTTCTTTTTTCTTTGCCATTTAGCTTAACAAGTATTTTGCGACAATTAAGCATCTTTTTTTTTGCTTTTTTTTCTTTTTTGCTTCATAATAATATAATTTACTTTTAAATATATATATATATATATTGTAAATTTAATGCTGCTGTTGTTGCTGCTTCTTCTTCAACTACTTCGTCGTCTAGTTTGCCGTTAAGAGTTGTCTTCTTCTAGCTGTTCCTTTTAATTATTTTTTATATGTGTGTGTTTGATGAAATCTTCTTGTTCTGCTTCTCCGCTTCTGTTCCGCATATAAATATTTAATTTGTATATTCTTTATAATAAAATTATGTTAATTTTCTTTCATTTTTCTTTAAGTATATATATATATATATTTATAGGTTAGTTAAACTTGTTCTTGCTGCCTCTTAAGTACTAGAGAAATGTGTAGTTGTTGCTCTTTTAGCGATTTGCTTTTTAATATTTAATGCTGCATTTATCCATATCAATATATGTATATGTATATATATGTATATATAGACAATTCGTAGACTACAAATTTTAATTTTTTTCATTTTTTGTTGCATAACGCTGCCAAACACTGGACCTCACCCCCCTCGGGTGGTGGGTGGTGAGGGTCCTCACCGAACCTCAACTGCCAACATTTGAGTTGGAAAAAAACACTTCCTCAGCGCGCCAAAGCTGGACTCTGGACCAGTCGGATACCAGACATATGCATATATATATATCTATATATCTATATATATATATATATGTACTGCATAAGTTAATTTAATTTTATATCGAAAATGTATTTTTTTTTTAGTTGGTTTTGTTGTTTTTTTTTTGTAATTTTTATTTTTGTTGTTTGTTTTTTTTTTTTATATTTATTAATTTTAAATTTAAATATAATTTAATAAGAAGAATTTGTTGTTGTTTGATTTTACATTATTTATAATATATATATGTTGTATTTATAATATATTTTATTTCTGGTTGTTTGACATGTGTGTGTGTGAGTGTGTTGTGTGTGTGTGTGTGAAGTGTATGTGTACGTGTATGTGTGTGTGTGTGTAGAGCTGTTGTTGGTGTCTATATAAACTTTGCCAGTTTTGTTTTAATTTTTGCAAAAATTACAAATTGATTTTGTTTTAGTTTTCATATTTGTTTTTGTTAAACATTTTTTTTATTTTTGCAACAAATTCGACAAATTGTGTTTATACTTGAAACAATTTAGTTTTACACAGTTCAAATGTTCGCCGCCAGCTGGCGCTGCTCTCCCGCTAGAGGGCGCTGCGCGCTTTGCCTTGGCATTTGCTCAAAGTTCTCTGATTGTTGTTTGTTTGTTTGTTGTTTGTTTGTTGTTGTTGTCGTGTTGTTCGTTTTAGTGTGGTATGCCTGTAGTTAAGTGTAGTAGTTTAATTTTTGTTGTTGTTTACTTATAACATGCTTTTTGTTGTTGTTTAAACGGTGACTTCTTTAAGTTTTGCTGTTTTGTTGTTGGTTTCTTTTCTTTTTCGCTTTTTGCATTAAAATTAAGTGTGTTTTGTTTTGTTTTGTTTTGTATTTTATATAATTTTTCATGTAATTTTTCTGGGTTTTTTCTCATTTTTTGCTTGTTTAAATTTTCTTGCTTTTTGCTTTTCTCTTTTCTTTTTTAGTTTATGCTTCGTTTAAGTGTAAGTTCTTTTCATTTTTTTTTATAAGTTTCTTAAATGTTGGTTTGTTTTTTATGTTTCTTCTTCTTGTTGTTGTTTTGTTTTTTGCTTAACTCTTTGTTGTTTTTTTAAGATCTTTTACTGGGGTCCATAGCAACAGCGCGGCGCGATGTTATTGCGCACAGCTACAGTCTTCGTCAACATCTTAAAAAAATAGAAAGGCTTAAAAAGAAATAATTTAACGCTTCACTTCGATGTCATCATAGTCACGAATTCTGAAATGATAGATAGAAGAGATCCATTATTAAATGTAGATAAATAAAAGTTCAATTCAAAAGAATTCTAGATAGTAGCTTGTAAATTTACAAGCAGCATTTACAATGAACTTGAGCACTTTACAACGCACCTAAAATAGCTGCATTAACAACAACAAATAACAACTAATCATTGTATTGGTTCGACAAGCATTACAACAACATCAAGAATCCCAACCAGCACTGTAAATAGATTTGGCGTACGCCGAGACCCAAAAGATTTCTCAACTAATCAATAAGACAAATGGGCGAGTCACAAGATGCCACGGGGCCGCTGACTGACGACGAAAAGCCGCTCAGAACTCGTATATTCAAGAAAAATCGGGCGAATATTTATTAAGTGCCGCTGCCAGACGCGTCAGATTAAAAGACCATATAAATACAATGGGGGGAAAGAAGAAGGATATGTAAAATTAATTCGAAGAATTTGAAATACGCTGTGCGGAAAATTAAGTTTATAGAAAAGGAACGAAATGGAATCAAATGGGACATTAAGGCAGGTTGGAATAATGGAAACGTTCAAACGTTTCAAAAACCCAGCGTTTCCTATAGTGCTTCTGAATGGAAAGTTGAAACACGTTCCATTTCAAATGTTTCACGAAACAGTTCAATATTTCTTAGTGTTCCATTTCAAATGAGTAAAGCAGTTAATTTCATAAATATGAAATAAAGGAATATTAAACAGTATTTCAGTTCCAAACATTCCAAGAACAATTTATAAAGTGAAAAAGTCGAGAGATGAATAAGTGAATAGACCCCGCTCGGCATGTACTCTATACCCACTTACTTTGCTAAGTATGTGAGCCAAAAATAGCGACTGCAATCAGAGCAGGAAAACGAGACAAAGAGCAGTCAAGAGTCGCGATAAAGATGAAAAGTGATCCAAAGGCAAAGCGCGGGCATTGTTCGATTTGAACTGATTTTCTGTTTGCCTGCTTAAAGCTGAAGATCATCGAGCGCGCAATCAGCGGAGATTTGTGTGTGTTTTGAGTATATATTTAATTAAGGGGCGATTGTGCATAAAGAGAGAGAAAGCGACAGACAGGTAAGGGTGGGCAGGGGGGGCGCACAAATTGGCAACGCTGTCACCGAACGTTGGCCGCTGAAACGCTTCCGCAGCTGGTTGATGCATTCGTGTCCCCGATATATATCAGGTGTTTGCATGCAGCTCCTAAATATAGACAAGTGACTGCCTCCACAAACCCCTGACCGGCCCCGCAAACGCCCCTTGCATAAGCAGCCGCGTTCGTTGATTGCATTTGGTCTATTGTTCTATTGGTCTTCTGTTCTGCCGCTTCTGCCTCTTGTTGTGGTCGCGCGCATTTTTCAAATATTTGCAGCATGTGAAAAACATTGGCCTGTTGGCCACATCAAATACGTAAGACGCAATGCGGGAGACGCGACCCACAACACCCGTTTGATGACCTGCGACTGAGCCAAGACAATTAGATCTACCCAGAGCTAACACGGGAAGTAGTACACTTAAATGGATGTCCATCCAGCTATTTCACACTGTTTCTTTCAGCTTTGTTCCGCATTGTATTGCGTTCCAATTCCACATTTTTGTCTAATTCTATTTGTCGCCTGTGATTTTTATTCTCGACCGTCTCCTTAAAATATTCCTTCCATTAGTTTCATTTTATACCCATTCCACATTTCCTGTTTCTTGTTGTTCCAATCGACATATTCACTCAAGGCAAATATATATAGAACTGTTTCCATTTATATAACGTGAATATACTATATTTAACTATAACTTTCCCTGTTTCTAAACCACATTGTTCTCCGTATTGCATTGTGTTGCAATTCTAAATGGTTTTCTGTCATTATTTTCCTTGATTATACATTCATTTTCCATTATAGATTCATTCCATTTTATATAAAACTCATTTCAGTTCCAGTTCTCTTGTGCCCGTTTCCAGTTGTTTCTGCTTCAATTATTTTACCGATTTTCGATTTTCAATGAAATTTCACATCTGATTCGTGGCGCCCCACAAACTGAATCCTTTATCTTGCACTCCTCTATAGTTTAATCCATTTAAATGACCGAATGCCGCTCATTTTGCTCGTAAACTGTTTTAAAAATAAAACGTTATTATAGGCAGAAACGCAACGTTCGATATGCGAACTGAATGCCAAAAAGTTCAGGGGGCACGCCCTGACACAACCTTTCCATTATTATCTCTGCTGACACGGCACAAATATGCAAATGGTTGGTTTTTCTTTGCTTCTGTTTACGAACCCAACCCAAATCGAGTTGGCGTAAGAAATTGATCATGTGTTCGAGGGGGGGTTCTCGGGGCTGGGCCTTGACATTTCCAAGTTCTTATCATTTTTTTTTTCTGCTTTTGTTCAGAGCAAATTTTCTTAATGGGTTTGATTTCTAGAATTTTTCTTTACGTTTTGGGGTTTGGGCGATTAAAATAAAATTTAAACTCTATTTTATGGTGCAAAAAGAACATTTGGAGGTGTTCTTCGATTCGCCCCCGCGCACCGCACCCTGCACTGCACACCTCGCACTTTTGGGGCTTTTGTGGCTCTGCTGTTTATCTTTCGTCGTTTTGTTTACATTCGCCAGCTCATACTCGGTTTTTTTCCTTTTCCATTATTTTAGGTTTTTTTTTTTTGCCATACATTATTTTGCCGCGCTTCTGTGCTAATGTTGAATTTGTTTTTCTTTGTATTTTGCTTAACATTTTATTTGATTTTCGCCTCTGTTTCTACAATTTTTTTGCGTTAATTCTTTTATTTGCCTTTTCGCCTATTTTCTGACAACATTTTTATATTTGGCATGGGGCCAAAGTAAGTCTCATACTTGTGCATATAGCCATAGAGTCGGGTCCGGCCCATTGTTTGCGCTATATAATTTTCAGATGCCGCACACCAACCCGCCGAAGAACCCCATAAAAAGCCGCCCTTACCAACAAACAAGCCAAGACAACAATAAAGACTTTGGTTAATTGGCAACAAGCAAACGGCAACAACGAGCATTTATTTATGTTATGCTCATTTCGCTATATACTATATAATATATATATATAATTATATATATACTATAAATGTGTATCTAGGTGTGCGTCGGGGTGTTCGGGTTGTTCGGGTTGTCGGTCAATATTCAAACAGCTCGCCAAATTGCCTGCTGCCAGTTATTGCTGTTCCCTCTCCCTCTCCCTCTCCCCCTCTCGCTCTTGTTCTAGTTCTTATTCTTATTTCACCTTGTTGTTGTTGTTGTTGTTGTGTTCTTTTGTTTTTCAGATTATTGCACAATATTTATATTTGATTTTAATTGTTGTTGTTTCACTTCCCTGATACGATAGCCGTTTAATATTTATGTTTTTTTCGCCTATGAAACATTTCACTTTGCGCGCGTAGGCTGCGGAAAAGCCCGATGGGAATAAAACAGCTGACAAATGTGCAAATGCGACCATGTGACTTGAGTGCTGTAGCAGGCAGCTCTTGAGTGCGTACATAGTAACACAAGAGAGAACGTACAAATGGAGGTCAGACGTAGCAGGCAGCTTAGAAGGCACAGAAGGGATCAAGTTGGAGAGTGTGAAAGAGAGGGCACAGAAAGGAAACAGGACAGATTCAGAAGAAAAGAGACAATTAAAAGCAGGAAGGATAAGTGCCAAGAAATTGACAGAAAGAGAAAAGGAAAGAGCAAAGGTAAGTGAGAAAGAACGAGAGACAGAGTGAGAGGAAAAGAGAGAAAGGAAAGGAGAACGCGAGAGAAGGAAAGAGAGGGACAGGAGAGAGCGAAGGGAATGGAAATAGTCAGAGTAAGAGAGCGAGAGGAAAAGATAGAAAAAGGCAATCTAAGAACTTTAACTCTAATAACTCCTTTTCAACGGTATCAAAGTAGAGAGTACAGAATAATAAGCGAATATATATATATATTTGCTCTATTGTTTAAACTATTCATAAATAATATAATTTCTGCAACTGCAACACCTATAATTTAACTCTTTCCCTTTCTATAAATATTTTCCCAACCCGGCAAAATACAGATGTCACAAGCTCGTTTATAATCTGAAGATTAAATAACTGCTGCCAATAGAAGGTCGTATACAATTTTGATTTAAACAAAAGTCCACTTAGTAACTCTTGACGTTTTGAATTGTGCCTACAAAGCATCTTTTGGCAATATAAATTAATAATTTTATTTGACAAATAAAACCCGTTTAAAGATTAGATTTCAACAAAATAAATTCTGTAATTTATAACACAACACAATCAAAAAAAAAAAACAACTTTTTCATAATAAACTTTCGTCTTATCATGCGATTTTAAATTTAATAAGCTGATTAGCAACTGATTTGGCAAATCAAATTATTAAAGCATTTTGCAACTGATTAATTTACTTCCCAAATAGATTGTCCCAGCCCTAATCACAACGCGTACGAATACCAAAATTTGTAGTTCTTTTCGCCTGCCTTGACTTTCACAAAAAGATTTGTAGCGTGGCGGGATTTCAAAAAGGGTCTACACCTATTTTTATACAGTTTCAGTTGGTTATTTTTATGTTTTGTTCATAAATTGCTTGTGATTAATCTATTTGATCCGCGAAGATTTTGCGCCAAACGATTTTTATTTGAACTTGAGGCACAATTTCGGTGTGCGTTCTGTTCAACTCGATACGTTCTAGAAAAATATATACATGCAGGTATATATACATATATATATATATATAGCACATATATCTCTGTGTATTTGCCCGACATCTGATTGCTATTGCGGGGCAGGTGCGGACCCCGCGCAGCAAATCATTTCGGTTTTTGTTGCTTCTAAGTACAATCAAAGCAACGCGCCGGCGGGGGGGCAGCGCAGGTTTGGGGGCAGAGGGGGTGGGCGGGCGCGTACGACACAGCATGAACGAAATCTTAACACCTTGATTCTATATTGCTTCTTGTTATTATTATTGTTTTTCTTGTTATTGTTGTTGTTGTTGTTTTTGTACTTTTGTATATAGTTTTTCTTCAGGGTTTGCTCTCAACTTTGCTCAATTGAAAATTCAATTTTCAAGCAATTAAATTAAATTTCGAAGAACACACAAAAAGTACAATTTTTGAAAAATGTGATGCCATGATAGACTCGTTAATACCCTAAGTTTCTGCATAAACAATATTTATAATCAGGGAACAGTGGAAAATATTTGAAGTCCAGAATTAATATAATAGAATATATTTTATTTGACTTTCTATAAAAATTTTAGACACATCGCGATTTGTTGTCTTCATTTTGTGGAATTGGAATTCTTTGAAAGCAAGACAAGTTTTCTTAGCGAGCGTTCACTGTAACCGAATGTATTTCTATACAACAATTAATGGAATCTTTGTCTAAATATAAAAGGGTTAATAATGCAGTTTTCTCATGAAAATTGAGTTAACTATAGACTTCTATGGAACTCAAATATGTTCAGGCTTGCAAAATGCTCCTCCAACTAAATTAAGGGGTATTAAAAATGCGATAGACACATATGTATATGTGCCAGGCTGCTGCTGTCTATAGAGATTTTTGCACGCAAAAAACAAAAAAGAAAAAACGGCGACTAATGAATCAGTTTATATAAAATATCATGAGTAAAAAGTAACGCATGACAAAACAAGTGCCAATTGTGACTCAAATATAGTTCGAGTGTGTGTGTGTGTTGGGTGTGTGATTCAATCGGCAGCTATGCGAATGTTTTGGCATCGCACACACATAACCCAGCAATAAGTCAATTGTACACATGCAATTACCAAAGCCAACAACAACAACAACAACTGTTGTGCGAATATCCAATTAGTGGATGACATGACACGACACAACAGCAACAACAACAGCAACAACAACAACAACACGACACGCGACAACAACACGTAAGCCAGATTAGTCCCACTCTCTGTTGTTGTTGTTGACAGCGTGAAGGGGGGTGGCATTTGATATAGGGGGGAGAGTGGGGTTGGTGGTGTGATAGCTTACCTTCGTAATTGACCTGACCATCACCATCGATATCAGCCTCACGGATCATCTCATCGACCTCCTCGTCTGTTAATTTCTCGCCCAAATTTGTCATTACGTGACGCAACTCGGCCGCTGAAATGAAGCCGTTGCCATCCTTGTCGAACACTCTGAAGGCTTCCCGAATCTCCTCTTCGCTATCGGTGTCCTTCATTTTGCGTGCCATCATGGTAAGGAATTCTGGGAAATCAATTGTACCGTTGCCTGGCAAAGTGGTAAAAGCAGAAAAAAAAAAACGTTACACCAATTAGTTGCAAATTCTTGTTAACACTTCATTTTATTATTGTATGTGTATTCATTTTCCGTTTAGTTAGAGACTTAAACAGAAATTTAATCAAATGCATTTGGTTTATATTTAATTATTGGTTTTGGTTTCTTGGAAAACGTCTAGGGCGACAATTTCAAACGGATTTTCACTAGATTTTAGCTGGAAATTTATTTCGTTTCGTTTTCTCTGTTTCAGTGTTCCGTACACATAACCCAACTTAATGCCAGTGTGACCAGTATTTTTAATGATCCAATTAAAAAGAAATTCATACTATTTGATTCATTCAATTATAGTTTAACACTCGTTTGGCTTTCTTAGAAAAACTTGCGGGTCTTCTGTTTGCAAACCCCATTTCTCAAAATTTCGCTTGAAAACTTATTATGTTTCATTTTCACTGTTCCAAACTGAACCGTATCTAACATAACTTAAGGCCAGTGTGACCTGTCTTTTTAATAAACCAAAAGCTGATATATTTTCACTCCTATATTCAAGCGACATCTGCATTGCCTGTAAAAACACGAACTTTAACAATATATCCTTACAATTTCTCACCTCTGTGCTAAGAACTTCTGAAATGCTCCCCCATCACACGATTGTAACAAATGTTCAAGCCATGAAATTCCTTTAAGAGCGTTTTACCTATTTCCACACTTTCCCTGGGGCAATTTACGAGGCGAACATATTTCTTTATTATGAAGTTGGCAGCTGACTGTGGCACGCCCTCATTGTGTACCTGTCGGCTATATAAACTAGAGCTCTTAAATCCCTTTTGGCCCAGGCACACACACACACACACACACACACACGCTCACACTCATAAATCCCCTCACAGCCATAATCAAGTAGATTTTCATATTTGTCTAAGCCCGTGCCGTATCTGTACCCCCGTCCAAACCGCCCGCTGACCTAGGTCTGACTGAAAGGATTGGCTCAACTTTTCGCAACTTGTTTTCTCTTTTTTATTTTTCTTGGTGTGGCACACGTGGCGTATGCGCAACATTTGTGGCGTTGATAACTTTAGTGCTGCCCCTGGCCAGATAAGCCCAAACTGCTAAGCCCCGTGTTTTGGGTGTGTGGACGGAGCAAGCTCTGGAGGTTAACTTGAGGTTTACGTCGGGGCACAAATGAAGTGGCCTCTGCCTCTGACTAAAATTCTTGTTAGACTAATTGAAAAAGTTTTACTTCACATTCTGTGTTTAAAGTTTGAGCATAGTTCCACTGTTTTTTTTTTTACTTCCACTTCTGTTGTTGTTGTTTTTGTTGTTTGGGGAGGGGTCGGCAGTTTTTATGGTTCTCCATTGGCCAAAAATGAAAATTTTCTTTTGCCTAACCAAAAAACTTTGCCTCGAACTCTGAGGCCTTAATTGTTATTGACTCTGGGGCAGGGCCTGGCACATGTCTATTGCAAAAGTTTTCTTTTGATAGCATTGTGTATTCTATAAAATGTATAATATTACCAACTAATGTCTGCTCTCTTAATGGTGCGTGGCTAATCTTTGAGAATAATGTTACGATTATGGTTTAGGCTCGGCCCCATTTCATGACTGTCTTCAAGGGCTTGAAAGAGTTTGCCAAGTTCGGGCCCATTGATTATTTATTTAACTGATGCTTGGAAAGTTTTCCCCCAATAGCCACTTTTTTTATGAGTTTTGCTTTGTGCTGCTGTTCCTTAACGTTTTAGTTATTGAGTGCATATTCTTTAGCTTCCTCTTTGTGCTACAATCTTAAACTAGTCGGTCTCACAAAATATATATTCTCCTTTTCCTAACACAATTAAGTTTAACATAACTATTATATGATTCTTACTTTTCAATTTTGCTTTGTCTTGCTGTTCCTTAACGTTTTGAGTATTGACTACATACTCTTTCGCATTCCTCTTTGTGCTGTTCTTAAACGTTTCACATGCAAATTTATCTTTGTTGCATTCCAATGCTTTTCTATGCAAGATGTCCTTGAAGTCAACTTTTTGTTTTGACTAGAGTAGAGTTGATTCATTGACAACTTATGATTTAGTATTATCATAGTTGCTTATGTCGAGTGTAACACATTTTTTTCAGCAAATCGCACATTACAAATCAATGTTACCCCATCGTTTAGCAAACATTCCTTAGACCATACGATTTGTAAAATTAATGTTTAGCTATCGTATTTAATAGCCGCACACGCAAACGCAGACACAGACACAGACGCGGTCAATTATTGTTGCGCTTGCTCAAGTTCAAATACAAATACAAATCAATTCACACGCGCTGTTGCTCAGCTACTCTGCGCGGGTCCCAGCCGAAAATAAGACGATTAACAACAACATTAAATCTAAGCAAACAGCAAAATAAATATTGAAATCTTTATCATAAAAAAACGCTAGCAATGAAAATTGACTAACAAAAACTAATTATTATGATAATTGAATTGAGCATTGAAATAATAAGCAAAGAGAAAAATATATATATATGTTTCGGGTTCGTTTCCTAGCGCCATGTTTATACACACAAAAAGAATAAAAAAAAAATATATATATATAAGATATATTCTATTTAAAAACATTATTTTGACGCGAACTCTGTCGCTGAATTTGGCTAATGCAGACTCTTAGGATTTCCCCAATACGAAAAAAGAATTTGAAAATAATCATCAAAATAAATACAAATTTCTTGCCATTTTTGTGTGCGCTTTTGGCCAACTAGATATATGGCTGGGGGAACCTTTAGACGCGCCTTAGACAAAAACGCTTTGACAAGGCTCATACGATGACGATGTCTTGCCAATTTCTGTTGCCAATGTCTGGTGGTTTTTGGTTTTTGGTTTTTGGTTTCCATTACCCATTGCCCAGACGAGTCATCTACACACTTCCATTTTCCATTTCCCTCTAGACGTTTCGCAACGTTGCGCAAATTTGTGCAGACAATTTAAAATTTTAATAAGATTTTTGTTTCTACTTTTTCTGCAAAGCTAAATTTAGTCGGTTTGCTTGGGACACACTCTTTATAAATAACACATTGGGATTCCTCCTTGGGTATCTCTACATTTCGTTATTTTTGTCTGCACTTTTCGCTTGGCTTTCAATTTATTTCATTTCCATATAGCTGGACAATTGTTGTGCCATTTGCAACTCCCAAGACGACGACACTTCGAGGAGGCGGTTGACGTGTGGATGGGTGGATGGGTATCATATAGGGGGTCCAGGGAGCGGGGGTATGGGGGTGGCGGGTCTCTAATGGCGTCGTTTGTATGCGGCTGCAGTTTTTGGACAACGTCGTCGTCAACAAACTTGGGCGATGCCAACAAAATTTTAAGTAATGAATGTTTAATGTTTCTGTTGTTCACAGACTACAAAATTTACCCCCCACACACACACACACTCGCGTGTGTGTGCATATATATGTATATATTTTATATAATTTTATGCACGAAATGCCATTTGCCCACTCGGATCGTAAAATCGGCGAGATAATCGCTATAGCCCCGGGGTTACTGTACCGACAAAATCCCCATGAATAGCCATGTGAATAGTGCAAAATGTGAATGAGTGCTAAACAAATAAATCCCTGTTGCAGTGCACAACAGAAATACTTGTTTCTAATATTAAACTCATGTTAAGTAATTAAAAGTGAACACCGAAAACAAATTACAGCAATTGTAATTGTATTTACGACTCTCAGACAGTGTGACCAGCCAAAATGTATATGCCAAAATTAGGCTCTTTTTAACAACATTTCTGTTTTGTTTTCGTAGAGCATACGAAAAAAAGTGTATTTCTTTTTTTAAGAAACCCATTAAAAAGCATTAAAATTTTGGAATTTTTCACACACACAGTTTTTTGTAGTACGAAATGGAATAAAAATAAAAACAATTTCTAGAATTCTAGAAACTATTTTACTTGCCATAAACATTTATATTTTATGCCTTGTTTAATATCTAGGCTAAAATGCTCGCTATTTTAGAAATGAGCTCAAGCTGAGCGTAATTCGAATATTGTTGGGAAAGAATCCTAGCTGCCTGGATTATATGAGGATCATATCTTATCTGTTCACAAATACAGCCTTCTAATCGAGTATATACTCCCGTTTAAACTTGCATATGTATGTCAAAATACATGCACACGTACGTACATATTCAACTCCATTTTCAAATCAAAATCTCAACTCTTTCACACATACATACACGCATGCAGACATCATCTAACGCACACGCACACGCGCGCGTGCCCACATAAGCAAAAGAAAGCCTCTCTCAAGTGCCGTGAGCCGAGCTATTTTTAGCTCTGCTGATAATCATCAGTCAGCCAGTCAGTCAGTCAGTCAGTCAGTCAGCCAGTTGCTTCCATTTCGCTCACTCCCCTACTGCTTATCCACGTGCTTTATGTGCTTGTTGTCCTTTGCGTTATGCTTGACGCATGCGCTGCGCAGCGCCTTTTTGCAGACTTTGCCCTGGATTTTTCATCACATGCGCATTTTGCACGTGCAAACGTACAAGAGGAATCAGCAAGAACAAGAACAACAACAGTAACTGTTACTCTAAGTAACAACAGCAGCAGCAGCGCAGCCTCTGCAGGCAGAGTGAAAGAGTGAAAGGGTGCTCTGCTGCAGACGTCGCGTGATTAAGTGAGAGAGAACTGCTGCTGACGGCTGCTGTCTCTGCTGCGCTGCTGCTGCTCCAGCTGCTGCGCTTGCTGTTGTTGTTGCTGCTGTTCCAGCTGTTGTTGTTGTTGTTGTTGCTGCTGCTTGTGTCGGATGTGGGTGACTTTGGTTCGGTTGCTGGAATTTTGTCTCCTTGCACTTTTTACTTGTTACACTTTGCACTTGTCGCTCGTTTGTCGCATTTTGTTTGTGTGCGTGCTGCTGCCGCTTATTGGGTGGGGCATGTGTTTTATTTTTAAGCTAATTGTCAGGCTTTGGGCATTATGCAAAAAGCAACAGCGCACAATGAAGCGCGCGCACGCACGCACGCACGCACACGCACACGCACGAACGCACATACGTGTATGCAGGCATAAAAAAAGTGATTTATTATTTGTGAAAATTTATATAGCCCGAAAGCAAGAAGAAAATAAATATAAAAGAGATATTCTCGACACATTTCACAATTGCTAAAAATACATATAAAAAGCCACACGAGCGCTTTCGCTCTCTTTCTCTCTCTCTCTCGCTCGCTCTTTCTCACGCTCTGGCCAAAAGTGTGCAGTGTTGAGCAGTTTTTGATGCAAAAGGTGAAAAACCTCAACGAACGACACATTTTCTTTTGGCCGAAATGGCGCGCGGCGCCTATCGCACAATTTCTTTTCGTACGCTGTTAAAAATAATTTATATTCTTTTTTTTCTCTTTTTTTTTTGTGTTCAAATTCTTAGCGTTCCTCTAGAAGACGCGCTCCCAGTTTGGGAACTCAACCACCTTTTGTCAAAAATCCTGTGTGCATTTTTGACAGCAGCCAGCCCCCAATTACAACAACAACAACAACAACAACAACAACATTAGCCAGCAAAGCAATAGCCAAATATTTTTGGCCTAATCTATTTTTAATGGCTATGACGTGTTTTTGTTGCATATTTTTAGACGGTCGCAAAAGAAGACGCGAACAAACACGAAGAATTCGTTGTCTTCTCGTCCTTCCCTTCCCTTCCCTCCCTCCCTCCGTCCGTACGTCTGTCTGATCTATTCAATAGTCTGTCTGATTTCCGCCAGCGGGATTTTACACACAGCGCGCGGCGGCGGCTGCATTTAAGAATAGATCTTTGCGGTTATCGAAGAGTTTATTATTAGCTTGAAAAAGGGTTCAAAGCAATTAGCGCAACAGCGAATATTGTAAAAAGGAACCGATCTCAAGTGAAACGAGTTCACGAATTCGATAATCGAATTCCAATTGAATACTGTTCTCTTTCGGATTATCACTAAAACGTTTACGAATGCGACACAAAGAGGAATGAAAATCCACTATAAATTAGACCTAAAGAATTATAGATAGCTATGTACTTACAAAGATTATCTAGAAATATCTATATCCCTACATAGTCACAGATTGTTATATTTCCATATATCAGCTTGAATATAAAACGTTTACGAATGCGACACAAAGAGGAATCGAAAAAACGTAGCCTCTCGGCATAGCAAGCAACTGATCGTGACTGCTCGTTGATATTACACATAGATTATTATTGTACACTCACCATCGGCATCGACCTCGTTTATCATGTCCTGCAGCTCAGCCTCTGTGGGGTTCTGTCCCAGGGAGCGCATGACTGTGCCCAATTCCTTTGTTGTGATGGTGCCATCGCCGTCTTTGTCGAATAGCGAGAACGCCTCTTTGAACTCAGCGATTTGTTCCTCTGTCAGCTGATCGGCCTGTAGAAACGAGACGGCGAGAAAGACAAGAAATTTAATCAAGAGAAAAGACATCGTTTTGTTGCTTAATTTATTTTTTTTTTTTTTTTTCAAATACCATAATTCAGCTTTCGATTGAACCAACTTGTTTCTATGTATAATATTTGATAATTAATTTGCTGTCAAGTTTATGAAGTGCTAATGAATGATGAAACTGGCGACGACTACTTGATGTTATTTAAATGCCAACAAACTGGCAAGTATTGCCCGGCCTTGCGCGGCAAGCCTTTTCAAATATGGCCAGAAATTAAAAAACAAAAAAAATAAAGGAAATACGTCAGAAAGTTTTGGATCATCAAGCTGTCAAGCAGTCAATCAGCCTGATTGACACAAACTGGAATGCAAATAAGGACAGTTTTATCTTGGAAAAACAATTTGCAATTCCAATACAAAGAACCGCAACAACCATAAAAAGACACGAGAACAATAAAAATGTACCGAGGCGCAAATATGTCGAACCATTCGTTTAAGGAGTGGGAAGGGCAGGGCAGGGCAGGGCAGGGTTAGGAGTAGGGGGATACGTCTAAGAAAAGCGGCATTTGAATAATTTCGCATATTGTTTGTACTCAACAAAAGACCCCTGCATACATACATATGAATGTGTCTATAGATACAGTTGTTCTCATATCTCGGCGATGGTATCTAAAAAAAAAAAACAAAAAAGGTGTTGGATTCCGCTGACGTCAGTTGTTGTTGCTGTTGTTGACGTGTTTCTTTTAAGGGGTATACAAAAACGTAACTAAAGCTGCATGAGAATGCCCAAGGTTTGGACAAAGTGCTTTTTTTTTCTGTTTGAAAGCCTTGTCTAGAGGCTTCTCGGGCCTAGAAACAATAAACCTGTTGACAGCTGCGCCCAACAGCCCAGCGAAGCGTCAATTTGCTAGCGTTTCGAGTCTAATTTGTTTTGACAGACTTGTCCTATGCATCAATTTGAGTATATACAATATATACTATATACACACACCGAGATAAGTTCGGCGCCCCTATAAAAATAAATAAAATAATATAAAATAAAATAAAATAACAAGCAAGCAACGAGTCGCATATCAAATATGATTAAACACACAAAATGATTATTTTTATAGCCTACGTCAGAGGCGAATTGTTTCAAAATGATTTGATGCCTTTTCTATTTATGGTCTCGATTGATTTGGCAAGCTAAGCTCGTAATGCTCATAAGTACCGCTCGTTTCTGGTTAAAAACATTTGATCGATTGTCGTAAGCAAGTTTATTATTTCTCGCCCATTAAAACGTGATATGAGTTCATTTATGATTGAGACAAAATGTTGTTAAGAGTCACACTTAGGCAAACATGATTCAGTCGAAGAATCTTTTCTAGCACTGATTTTTAAGATTTGCATTAATATAGACTGGAAGATTTCATTCCCTTTCATTTCATTTCTATGATTAAACTGTTTGGGATGACAAAACCTTTTGCCAACAAATATTTATTTCTAGACTCGCCTAGAGGAAAACAAGCTTATTTGTGATCTCATCTTCTAATAAAGCTTAGGCATGTCTAACGATTTTGTTTCTAGCTGCAAACATTGCCCACATTCATTTCAAAGCAATTTAATTTCGATTATAAAATTTCTTAGATTTCTAACAGCTAGCTTTTCAGGCTGCTCGCCAGGAATTTGAAGTGCAAAACGCCTTAGATAGGGCGTCTCTAACTATAAACCCAAATATTTGCTATCTAATCAATGGAGGCGGCCAGCAGGGGGAGGCCATATCACTTCAAGGCGTTCAAATGTTACATAAAAGACTTGTTAAAATGTTTGATCGCAACACACACACACACACACATATATATATATGTATATATATATACTGTATATTATGATCAACTTCCGTCGCGCTTTGGCAAAACCAACACCTGAAACAATATCTTATCGTCGGCAACTCAAGAGCGCCAGGTGTATAAGCATTTGTACATATTTACAGTCATCTTTGGCTAATTTGAACCAATAGAAACGAAAAATTCGATCGACCTATAAATTTAATTATGGTTGGGAAATTATCGATCTACTTGGAATTGACTATTAATGATTTTTATGGAAATACGCCCTAAACTCAAAGAAACCCAAAAAATTGGTCTATTCAATATGTCTATACAAAATCATTAACTATAAAACTTAGGCATTTTTCAAATTTCAATTTTAAGTCATTTCTAAGATTTGACTTTGAAAGCAAAGCATTGCAACCACTGTAACTACCGCATATATGTACTTATGGGTTGGCATCAATAGAAATTTGGCTTATCGCTGCGCTAGATAAAAGGCTTTTTTTTCCATTGCCCGGTAGTAAGTAGGTTATGTCATAAATATGAGTCAAAGCGCGCGCAGCGAAAGCCAGATTAAAGCTCAGTACGTTGGCGCGCTTTGAATATGGCAACGCCGCCCCCGCGCACAGCGTAGCCAGATCGCTGACGCTGCCGCCTAATTGTCAAGCCTTAAATGCGCGACTGACGCGCCCACCTTAACACGCCATATTGGCAATGCTGCACACCTGGCTGCAATGTTTTAGTATGCGTGTGTATTTGTGTATTGGGCTGTCAGGCATGGCACATGTGATACAAATGAAGCATAAACATTACTTTTAATAGCTTTCACGTGCTATCTCTCTCGCTCTCTCTCTCTCTTTCGTTTAACTGGTTAATTCGCCTGTTTGCATTTGACCAAAAGCTGCCAACTTGTTTGCCAAAAAAAACCGGCAAATTGCGGTTTATTAATGACATTTGCAAGAAATCGGCCGGTGCCGTTTTAAAGCCGAATGGACAGGCCGAAAAGAGAGTTGCCGGTTAACCGGTGCCAACCGGTTAACATTGGCATTAAGCAATACATAAACGCACATGCACACTCATGCATACACATGCACACATGCATACACACATACATGTGTATGTACATGTTGCTAGCATTTGTTTGGATAAAAGGAATTGCTGTGCTAAATGTGCTGTCAAATGTTTTTTGTTAGCGCTTTTGATGAACTCAGCTAAATGAGTCACAAAAAAAAAAAAGAAGCAAAAGCATTTCAGAGCTCAAGTTATGGCAAAGAAGCGCAGCATAATAAGAAATAATTTGCTGAGCGGAAATGAGAAGACAATACGAGCTGTATATTTGATGAGATAATGCCGCGCAGTCAACAAACTTTGAAGATCAAGTTGTGTTTATCTAAGCCCTCGCCCGCGCGACGGCATGAATCACGTTTAATGCAAAACCAAATACTGAGCACGGAAAACGATTTGTTTTAATTAAAAAAAAAAAAAGAAGCTGTTTGCATTTTGCGTGAGCTGTAAAATATTAATGAAAAAAATAAAGAACACTAATTAAATTAAGTGACGCGTGCTGCAAGCAGAGAAGGTTCGCCGGCGACGTTGACTGTGTGTATTTTCTTATCAGAACGCAAACGCAGCAAGCGCTAAAGCCAAATAAAAATAAAAGAGACGTCGAAAAAGGCAGCAGTAAAATGAGTTGAAGAAAAAAAAAATTGGATTATGTGCGGTTAATGTGGCGACGTCGCAACGTTTGGCGTCTGGGGCGAAGAAAAAAGAAAATAAGTTTTTTTTTTTTCTTCTTTTCTTCATTATGCTGCACGCTGCACACGTTTGCCCGTTACAATGAAATTCTTGTGCGAATGGCAAAGTGGAACAAGCAGCAGCAGCAGCAGCAACAACAACAACATGGTCAAGCAGCAGCGGCGGCAGAGACAGAAGCCAAAGCAGAAAGCGAAACAGCAAAATAACCGCAATGCGGCAAATGAAACGGTTATGGAAGAAAACAACAAAACGTAGGCGCCGCAACCGACAAACTGGGAGAGAGAGAGAGTGAGAGAGCGCGTGAGCGCAACTGCGAAAACGCCAAAGAAAGCGCACGCAGATAAAAGTGCGCGACCCAGAGAGCAAAACCGACGCAGTGCGAAAAGCGATTGATAACAAATGTGCAGAGCGCGAGCGAAACGAAACGCAACCAGGCAAAACTGTGTGAAACGGTTATGTGGCTGAGTGTGAGAGGGCGAGAAAGAGAGCCAACTGCTGCGCGCATACGAAACGGTTAAATTGAGCAAATAAACGAAACGCGACAAAGCAACGACGGCCAAGAATTCCAAAAGCTAAAGAATTTTTGCCGTTTCTTTTCTTAATTTTTTTTTTTGCCTATATTTTTCTTTCAAGCGTATCTAACCTCAATTTTCGTGGTAAATAAAGCGAAACGAAACACAACGAGAAAGAGCAAATTACAAGGAAATATAAAAATGCCGGTGGCGCTGCTGGAAGCAACGTTATTCTTCTTCTTGCTGCTGCCGCTGCTGCTGCTGCTGCTGCTGTTATGTTGATCATCAATTTTGTCTCGCACACACAATCATTTTTCCCATATGTATTTATGAGTAGTGCAAATTTTGCTGATAAAGTAGCGATTGGCAACACTTTTTTTTCTCTTCTATTTTCGATTTTATAACCAGTTCGCCTTTGCTGCAATAAAGTAAATTCTGCAGTGCACACACACGCATGCTTCTGTGTGTGTGTGTGTGTGTGTGTGTGTAACACAGCTGCCAGCGGAGCCAACGCGTCGCCTTTACATGGCGCAAGGGGTGGGCCGGGACGCGTTTCTGATAACGAGTTTTTTTTTGCTGATTTGTTTAAGTTTTCTGCCTGCCATACGTCAATTATATGGAGCGGGGCGCGGCGGGGCTGGGCGGGTTCGTCTATGCGGGGCTTGTTTTTCAGCTAAAACCCTTCACAACACTCGTCTCATCGAACTATTGCCAGGGGTTCAGACAAATGTTGAAATAACTGTGAACTTGAAATTTACTGTTGACGCAATAATGTTTATTTTTACGTATTTTGCATTATTTAAATAGAAACATTTTCGATTATTTTAGAAACAGATTTGATATTAAGGCATAGCGTGAACTAATAAAAAGTAGATTTGATTTAGCCATAATTTCTAATTGGAATTTATGGCCCAATAAACGGACATATTACTGTGCAATTTTATTCAGAAAGAAAACCAAGCAAAGAGAATATAAGAAAATAATAGCAACAATTTCAATTTGCAACAACAGCAACAGCAACAATTTAGCCCAGTTAACAGTTATCGGTAACTAGAAATAGTCAATTTGAGTTTGAACTTTAACCTCCGCTTTCATCTGAAATTCGCACTCCTAAGTGTCCTCTAAGAAAAACTATGACAAATGCATGAAAATGCTATCTACTTCTCGACATGATAAAGAAGGTAATTATTTGTTCTGACGCCTCTCAAAGGTGACTCATTAAAAACTAACCCTCGCCTGTTAAGTTAAAAAAAAAAGAAAAAACTGTTTAGTTTTTTGAGCAGGCAGAAAACAAGTTTCGGGTTTCAAAAGTGGCTTTCGGCCAAGGGGGTGAATTTTGGCACAGCTGCTGCTGAAGGGCTAAGGCCAAGCGTAATCCAATTGGACAAACAAGCAATTGGCGCCTGCACACGCAATACACAAACACACTGACGCACACACGTACACGCGAGAACACATGTCCAATTTTAACCTTTGTGTCTATGAGATTTCGCCAAATTGTTGAGATTTCAATGGAAATTCTTGTGTAAACAATGTGCCAGATTGGCAAGAGGGGTAGGCGGGTGTTGTTGCAAAATTTTAATGAACTTACCATTTTTGTTGTTGGGTTTTGGTTTTTGTTGTGTTTGGAAAGAAATGTAGCTAAAGGTTAATCCGCTGCGGCTGCTGCTGGCGGCGACTTTTGCTGTGGTATGTGTGAGTGGAATTTACGTGGACGACGACGGCGACGCGCGTTCAACGTATAACTTGTAAATTATTTGCGTTTTAAGCAAATTTTTTAATAACACACTGTAAAAGATCGAGAAGAAGAAGATGAAGAGAACTGCTGTGTGAATAAAACGGCGAAAACCAGCAACAACAGCGAACAATAACAAAAAAACCAAGCAGCGTCGTTGCCGGCGGCGAACACAAATGAAATGAAGGAAACCAGAAAATGATGCGAGGCAAAAAGCGACAGAAATGTTAACATCGCCGTCAACGCCAACGTCGCCGCTGGCAGCGACGCTGCTTTTCTTTCGCCGTGGCAATTTCTTGTTGCTATTTGTTGCTCTGCCGAATTTATGTATAATTTATATATATATATATATTTTTTTGGTTCTTGCGTTTTTCTTCTTTATATTTTCTTTGGTTTTTGTTCAGATATTTCTATTGTGCGATACAATTGATGAAACACACGCGCGCACACTCGTTAATACATATGCAAATTGCTCGATTTCGGTTTATACAAATATTTAAACATTTTGAAATTTCTTTTGTTAATTTTGTGTGGGGTTTTTTTTATGTTTTGTGGTAATCACGCTGCCTGACTAGAAGTCCTCTTCAATTTTTGTGGCTTGTGTATTAAATATTTTGCTATTGTGGGTAACTCACGATCCTAATCAGAACTTGCGTCCGTAACGGTTGACAACTCAATTGTAACTGTACCGTTTAAAAACCGTTAGCGTACTACAATAAATTTGCGCTGTTGTGCTGCTGTTTGGCTGCAAAGCAAATGTTAAATGGCCGCTGTTAGATGCTCAAATGAGCTGCACTCGCATTCGGCACTGCTCAAGTGAGCTGCTAGCCAGGCTGTTATGCTCAACGCTGCTGTTAATCGACATAACTGCTGTTAATTTACGCTCGCTGCTGCAAGCAAGCACTTGAGCGAAACGGTTGTAGAGCGAATCGGTTAGCTGCGCTCTCCATTGCGTTTTCTCGTTTTTGTCATGTTCGCTGCTTTGCGTTAAACGCGATAAAGAAGAGTCAAAGTGTGAAGAAATGTTGAGGACGAATTGGCAACAGTCGCGCCGGCGCCTTTGGGCGACAAATTATGTGACAGCTAATTGCATTTGTTAATAATATTTATGAGATTAAACGAACTAAATATCGAGCTTGACCTTTGGCAATTATGCGGGGTTGTCCTTGTAGCCAATACGCTGAGCCTAGCCACATTTAGATTAACATAAAACACACACACAAGCTTAGGCACACACATACTCACGCATGCATTTTATGATATTGCCCATTCAATTTTAGAGCCCTTCTGTTGGTCAGTTTCCACATCATGCTCTTCGGCCGTGCTCTTTTTGCCTTTGCCGTTTTTTTTTTTTTTTTTTTGCCGCAGCGAATTGTCGCAATGTGTTTTTCTTTCCTTTGGCGCAATGTCGTCCAATTCAACGCATGCCAACAAGTTAAGTATGTTAACCTCTGTAAATTAGACAAGAGGCAGCGGGAGGGTACGATGAAGTAACAATGCAGCAACATTGGCCCAACTGCGACTGCGACTGCGGCGCTGACGTCGTCACTGGCGATGGCGACGTCGACGGCGACGGCGACGACAGCAATGCGCCATTTTTCGCCATGAAATTCGGCTTGGGACGTCTTTCGCTCTACGTCCGTCATGCAGTGTGTGTGTGTATGTGTGTGTGTGTGTGTGTGTGTGTGTGTGTTGGGTAAACATTTTGCAAGCCAGCGAAGCCCCACAGAAGCCACAGCTAGCGACCTGGCCCAAACCCCAAAAACCATTTTCTCCTTCCATCTGCGACTTGTCAAAGCTTTCGTCGCAATGCGTTCAAAATTGCTGAAAATTCATTTGTTTGGCTCTTCGTTTACACAGGTTTTTCTTATTTTTCCCTTTTCTTTTTTTATTTTGAGGTTATGCTGTTTAATCTTTTATAATTTCATAAATTCGTAGAACTCGGTTATGTGAAATTATACTTATATGCAGTTTAAAAGCTTTAAATTTAAATGGATTTAAGAGATAGATATAGATAGATATATAGATATATATATTGCAAAAATTCAATATATATTCTGCAATATTATATCTATTATCTGAAAGAACTTCTGTGAAGTTTAAAAGGTTTTAAAGCTAGAATCCAACTTGTTCTAAGGCATTTTATTGCTCACTTTTAGTTCATTTGTATGTGAGGAAAATAAAAGCTAATTAGCGCGGCACATCTAGCCATAAAACAGCCGGAAAATACTCAGTGTGAGTTCGCTAATTGTCAGCAGAATAAATTGCTGCAATTACGCCGGGGATGATGGCATTTTAATAGAGCTACTAAAAGGTGATTTCCCCAACGTTTTGGCCCTGTGCAAAAAGCGTTTAATACAGAATGTGAAGAATGTGTCAAGAAGATGGCAAAGTCCTAAAGAAGTACTTCAAAAATTTGGATCATATGGAGGTTCCATTGCAAAAATATGCGAATTAAATTGTTTAAAAATTTGGCCTTAATTCAAAGAAATTAATCTTAAATTAAATCAATTTTTTTGTAGTACACCAAATTAATTCAATTCAAATTAATTTCAGCTATTCTTTCAACCTAACCTTACATAGAGAGAAAGAAACATGTACATATGTCATTTATGTGCTCCGTTCACTTCTTTTTCGCTTTCTTGGCGGCCTTGCGAGCTTTCTTCTGCTTGGCTCGGCGCCATTCCTGCCAATATGTTTGAATCTTGCGTGCAGCCCGATTCATCATGAAGACCAGAATGTTCTGTTGGTGCTTGCGCTGTTCCTCCTGTTCGTATTGGACAACAATCTTGTTGTAGACGGCCTCTTCTTTGCGATAGTATACCATAAAATTATCCAATTCTTTTTTGGCCGCTTTATACATATCCTCCAATTGGAGATTCTCGCGCAGCTTTTCCCCAACATTCGAATCGTACCTGTGCAGAGCGTTCTCAAGCTGTATCACCAGTTTGTTTCTGTTCCGGGTAAATAAAGCTATATTAGATCTAGCTAAAGTTTCTTTCTTTCACTTAAATTTCAGTTATTTGTTTGCTGTTGAGGAATATTGTGTTGGAATTGTTTTCTTTCCATGAGTCAAGTAGACTCTTATTTAGATAAGTTAAGAAGTTCATCGAAGTTTTGTGTACTTGATCTAGTTCCTGATTTAGATAAGTTAAGACCCTTTCTCCTACTATGTATCGAGTAATTCATCTAGTTCCTTTTTTAGATAAGTTAAGATAGAAAAAGGCCTACGTTTCCATTTTATGTGCCAAGTAATTCATCCAGGTTCCTATTTAGATAAGTTAAGAAGTTCATCGAAGATTTGTGTACTTGATCTAGTTCCTGATTTAGATAAGTTAAGAAGAGCATAAACCTTTTTCTCCTATGTATCGAGTAATTCATCTAGGTTCTTATTTAGATAAGTTAAGAGCACAATAAGCCTGCTTTCGTTTTCTATGTGTCAAGTAATCCATCTCTGTGTCTATTTAACTTACTTTTCATCGCGCAAATCTTTTTCGTTTTCCGCATTCTTCGTGATCAACTTTTCGTATTCGGCCTGCGCCTTTTCCAACTCCTCCGCCAATTCGTTTTGCTTTTGCACGCTTACCTCGTGATGCTTGCGCAGAGTCTGAGTACGTTTCTCACTGTAAAGCGTGAAAGAACCGTGGAAAATAAAAACGATAGTTTCTCAGTTTCTCGGATGCCTTCAATGAACTCACATTTCGTTCTGGATGCGCACATTGTTCTTCCACTTTCTGTTGGCCAGGTCAGCCTCTTGTTTTTCTAATATCAGGAATTGGGTTGCCCATTTCCAGCGCAGGAGCGCTTTCTTTGATCCTAACTTTTTCTTGTAATACTCAATGCGTTTCAATGTCGCTTCTCTCTCCTGGTATATGACATGCAGCTGACGCTCCATGATTATCTCAGCCTTGGATGTGCGCCACAGATGACGCTTGGCCACGGCCAGGATCGTTTCGAAGGAAACTAACAGTGTCTTATCATATTCCGATATATTGTTGAGATACCTTGGAAACATTTCGTACATCTGATAGTTGGATTGAAAATAGTCAATGATGTGCAAGACTTCGATATTTAACATCTGTGTTTTGACGACATCTAAGCCCTTCAGTCTCCTTAACAGATTTATGGCCGGCTCGTAAGCGGTGTTACGCAGCACAGGCTCCACTTCATTCAAATCATCGGCCATTCGGGGCAATATGATCGATATTTTGAGACGCTCAATAGACTTCTCTAGCAGTCGTATAACATTATCGATTTGTGTTTCACGAATACGCGCGAAATCTGCGTGGAATTGTAGCCCTCAGTCAAAAAGAGAAAAACCATAGACCAAATGTTAGGCTCACCTTCTGCTACAGATGCCTCCACTTGTTGCATGTCCATGCCCTATTTATATACATACATTTATATATATATATATACAGATAGATTTATAGTTCTTTTATCTATAGTATATTTACTTTGTATCTGTATTCTAACTTGGGCACTGTCTGTCTGTATTTCGTTTTGAGTACTGAACAATGTTTATTTGGACAGGCTGTTAGAATAACAATTTGGTTACTTGGCCAACTTGATGTGCTGCTAGGTAACGACAAATACGAAAATAAGCTAATACAGAATGGGAAAAACTCTCAGAGTTCACAGAGCTTAATAAAAATATCTTGGATATGATGCCTAGATAGATGTTCTCTATGAGGTTTCTTTAATAGATTTCCAATATCTATTCATAGTAGAATTTAATAGTTTCCCATGGAGTTACTTATAAGTTTCCATACAGTTGTCATAGAGATACTCTTGAGGTACTAGAAAGATAGATAATATTTGGATACTTCCAGAGAGTTCCAATGCAGTTCCTTTAGGAACTTTCTCAATCTATTAGGAGTTCCCATTGTGGGAGAGAGACTTTCTGTTACAAACATGCACACCCAGTGCATATGCCCTGTTGGGCTAATTGGGCGTAGGGTATAAATCGCAGTTTGTGAGCTAAATATAGCATGCGTGTGAGCGTGGGTGTGGCACTCGAGGGCGTTAGATGAGCTATGCAAAGTCGTCAAATGGGCGTGGACTGGAGATTGTAGCGGGGGGTGGGGGTTGGGTGGGTGTGTGTGTAGGGGAGAGAGAGGCGTGTTCAGCTGAATTTGGGCCTTGTCGCCTTCGCCTGCAAAAAGTTGTTGCAAGAGACGCCCGGCCGTGGATGGGGCCGGCTGTTGTCGCCGGGGAAGGGGGGGGGGGCGGGTGGTGGCGTGTGTCGCATTATGTCAACTGGCGTGGCATGAATGAAAGCTGCGACAGGCAGAAACAACGGCAACTACAACTGCAAGGCGAGCTGTGGCAATGCCAGCGGCATTTCCGTTGCCTGAATGTGTTTGCCAGGAACAGGAACAGGCGTTTCGAGAAGAGGGAGAAGAGGGCGTGTCCTGTCTGACAATGGCAGGGCATAAACTTTCATACAAAGCGCTGACAACAAACAAAATTATTAAAAACTTGTGTACGAAATTATTGCCCTCAGGTGCGATAAGTTTTCTGCCTAAGAGAGTGAGAGTTGAGTATAAGAAAAAAACTATGCAAATTTCTAGATGTTTTTTTTTTTTCCTTGAGTTCTATTCGAAAACAGTTGAAGGGAATAAACATGGCTATAATTATGGGTATTCATCATTTAATTTTGTTTTAATTATTTCTAACAAGAGATTTAAACTAAAATAAAAATCTATTAAATAACAAATGTGTGTGTGTGTGTGTGTGTGCTTGGGGGCGAGAGTGAAGTATATTTAAAGAAAGATTTCTTTAGTTTTTTTTTCTTTTTTTTTGGTTTTTTTCCAAAACAGTTCCTAATCATGGGACTGTAATTATTTTAGGAAAGTCAAAGTTCCTAAAATGAAAACTAACCTAAAAACCCTTAAGATAAATGAGAAATGTATGGAAAAATACAGAAATCACAAAATAACTAAGAATGCAAAATGTTGTATAAAGCCATAATAAATAAATATATAAAGTTAAGATAAAAACAAAAAATAATAAATATGCAGGCTCCAGAACCAAAGCATTTTAATATGCTTTAATTTGAAGTTTGAGCTCTTTTGCACGATAAAAGAATAATAATGTAATTTATTTTAGATTTCCCTCTACTCTACACACACACACACACACACACGACAAATATGCCCACAAATAGCGTGTTTCCACTTTAACCTTTGATGTTTCCATTTTATAAGTCCCCTTTTGTATTTGACTGTTTCCATTCATTTTCCAAATGATATGTTGCTCAAATAGCTGCAACACAGCCCACTATCCCTTTTTTTTTCTTTCATTTATAAATGCGCCTATTTCCCCTCCCATATGACGCACAATTCACAGGTAACATGAAAGACCTCCAAAGAGCACACATATGCACGCACGCACACATACACACACACGCACACACATACAGAGGCCAAACATGGCGCAGCACTAGCTGCTAAAAGTCAATTCGAAGAGAGGAAGAGAACGAGAGCGAGAGAGAGAGAGAGTGCGAGGACAGGCAACCGCAGTGTCAGCTGCGTCAGCGCAACAAGTAAGAAGAAGCAGTAGGTGAAGAGGTTGAAGCAAACCGTCAAATAATATGCCAGGCACAAAAGCAACAACAAAAGAGCAGAAAACGTCGCAGGCCAAGCAAAAGTCGAAACAAAGTTTTTTTTTTTTTTTTGTTTGTGTTTTTTTGTATAAACTGCTGCAATGCTGACGAACAACAAAAACAAGAAAGAAATACACATGTATTTGTTGTTGCTGGCAGCGAAAGAGTAGCTCACAGTGCGAATGCGTGATAAAGATGGTAAGAAAAGGCGATAGCAATAGCCAAAGCATGAAAAAATGACGCATAAGCAGCAGCAGCAGCAGCAGCTCAGACGGAGACAGATAGATAGAGAGAGAGTGGGAGGGAAATAGTGATATAGCGAGAGAGAGAGAGAGAGAGGGTGAGAGCGCGAGCGTATGCGGCCACGAGAGCGTGCGCCTAGCTGTATGCAGCTATATTTGACGCTGGCCTCGCCTCGCCTGGCGTTTGTGTGTGCGTGACAAATGGCCATGTAAAGCGGCACCGCAGAAAAACGTTAACGGTACTGCAAAGAATGTGCAGCGCAAAGCGAAATCAAGCAATCATGCTCTCAGCTTGACGCTCTCTGCGTTTTTCCCTTTGCAGCTGCTTGGCCCACATTTGCCAGGCTCAGCTGTCGCTGATTTTTACCGTTTGGGCTGCTCATTATGTCGCTGACGTCGACGTCGACGTTGACGTTGACGTCGCTGTCGTTGTTGCCGTCGCCTTGGCAGCATTTCTGCTTAATGTTATATATTATTATTGTCTTTACTTCATTTTCAGGACTATCTGAAATTTTGCCGTTACACTTCGGCTGGCCGCATTGCAGCTATAAATTTGTGGCTTTTGCATTCGCCTGCTAGATTACTTTTGGGGCAATGAGTGCCTGCGGCCAGGGTTGCCTTAACATTTGATTTTTCGGCATGTGAACGCAAAGAAAGGGTACAATTGAGTCCTTAAGCTGCTGGAGAATAGCGTAAATACTTTAAGCAAGTTGTGCTCTCATGAGCTCTCCAGTGTTGAATAATTTGCATTTTGTGGGCTTCACAGACTAGACTTTAATTGCCTAAACAAGGGCAAATTGGGAAAAATACTATAAATTTTCAGAAAGTTTATCGTAGAACTCAAAGAAATGTTTACACTAGGAACTGGTCGTTAGTCCTTTATGTGTTGTAAGATAAGTAGGCGATAAAATGGCGATACGCATTGCTAAGCGAAACTTTTATTTCATTCAAGCATTCCATGTTTATTAATGCTTCATTTAAACTCTTCACTTTTAACAGCTGTACAATTTCAAATTCCATTGTCTTTTTATTCTACACATTTATATAGTAGAATAACTATGAGATCCCACATACTTGATAATGCAGCCCGTGGATGCGACAGTAAAACTTAACGACAATTTTCAGTGGCACTTGCCACTAAATATTTCAACATTCTTATTTCCACTTGCTTGGGTTTTTCTGCCCCTTCCCCCCATCCCTTATGTTGGGGGTTAGCAGAAAAGTTTTCATTTGAAGCGTTTCCTTTGCAGTTCTCTTATAGGTTTTGCTTAGTTTCTTTCAGGACCCTGCGGCTCGAGTTACTCTCGAACTTTTGGCCTTTGGCAGCTGCTCAGCTAGTTTTTTTTTTGTTTTTTTTTTTTTGCTGTTGTTTCAACCTTTTGGCTTGTAATTTGAATTTTTTCAACTGTGAAGCCTCCCTCGCCCGTCCTTAGGTCAGGCCAAATGTTGCGGGCGTGTGTCTAAGGTTGATTATGGGCCAAAACTTGGTAGAAGAGAGCAGTTCAGTTATCTAATAAACTGTTTGCAATGCGATTTCTATGTGTGTGTGTGTGTGTAGACTTAACATTTGATGCTATTATAAAAGTTTCGTGTCCTTTGTGCTTGCTGTACAACTTAGATAATGTAACTTAATGTATACCAGTAATATGACTGGTAACACTAACAGTGTAATACTTTAATGCAATCATTATGTTATAGCAATGTCACTTAAGCCAAGCTAACAATGTTAACATTTCCCTCTCTCTCTCTCTTCACGATCTGTCTATGTAGCTCTGTTTATATGTAAATATCTCTCTCTCTCTCTCTCTCTTTCTCTCTCTGTGTTATGTACAAAGCAATGTTGCTATTTTGTACATCTAACCGCTTACATTTCTGCAGAATAGCTGTTAATTTAATATTTAATTTAATATAACAAAGTCAACATAATGTTAACATACGATCTGCTCATATAACATATAACGGTAACATTCTCGCACGCTGTTAAGTAACATGTTTTTACAATGTAACACGGTCTGTCTAGTCTCCATGCTTTATCCCTCTTTCTTACGCCATGTTGCGACCTTGGCTTCTTGTGCTCAACAATTTGAGCTAGTAAAATAGATTTTTATGCTTTACTCGCTTATAACTTGTGCCTTCTGTGCACAATTCAATAAAGTAGCAACAAGAAAAGTTGGTCCCGATTTAATTTATGAATTGTGCAAAAGTTTGTTGCAATTAAATTGAATTTTTGCTGCGCAAAACAAACGAACAATTTTCTTTGATTGACATTTGAAAAAAAATTGTCGCATGTATTGATGCTAGAACGAGACAGCGCACTTTTATATACTCCATCTGGTCGTACGTTGAAGAGCTCGTTAATTTATTTTCGTCCGTTTTTACACATGTTTTCCCGAGGGGGAAGGGGCGGCTGTATGTGTAGGGGGCGCGTGGGCTGCACAAGTTCTGTGCGACGCAATTGAAGAGGAGCATAAAAAAATAGTCATAAAATTCCTTTTGCGTGGTATTTCCCTTCAATTTTTGGGCCCTTCGGCACGCGCCGAAAAGTATGCAATAAAAACTGAATCCGTCTAGTTTTGTCAATAAACGCATTCTGCTGGCGTTTTTGTCCTGTTTAGCTTGCGCTCAGTTTTATGGACTCGATTGTGTATGAA